CCAACCCCCTCGCCCCTTCCTTCTACCGTCTTTCTCTTCTTTACCATCTTCGCCACCGAAAGCTCCTAGGCAACGAACCACAAATTGCCAGCCACGATGTATGTACAGAAAGGGGATGATGGTTGGTCTGCCGTCGAAAAACAAGCCACGGCAGAGCAGCATCACGCGAGGAAAAACTACATAGACGACTAAAAGGCGTCATCGACCCCCCCGCTTCCCTGTTCGTCGCCTTTCCCCTCGTCTTCGTCTTCCGGGGGGCCTGTGCCCAGCCAATCCACCTTCTTCGCCTCCATCGGGGAAGAAAGCGTGGCGTCGTGTGAGAACTTCACACCGATGGACGCCCAGTCGGGAACATACATTGGAGGGTCGATCAAAGTGATGGGGGGACTCGCCAACTTGTCGGTGATTACGGTCGCAGCTTCCACGATGTGCCGACGCGCGTCGAAGCAACGATGCATGGATGTGACGAGCGTCGGCTTCGCCGTGAGTTGGACGAAGACCCAGGCGTCATAATGCGCGCGATGAACGTCACCCGCCATCCGCATGAGCCACATGGTCGCCGCGAGCATCATCCGCATCGCTTCGGCCATGGTCTTCAACCTTTCGTGCGATACACGGCCGCCGTCCGTCGCCTCCGCAATGATCACGGTGCTCGTGAAAGCCCCCACCAGTCGCTGGATGCTCGCTTCCTAATAAGCCGCCAAGCCATCGTCCTCGTGCCTGTCTTCGACGTCGGCGCCCACGAACCACAAAGGCAGCTTCATATCCATGTCGAGCGTGTGGTGGACGACCATCGGACTCACACAATAACGCCAGTCCTCCCCCATCCACATCGAGCGAGCGATGTCGGTGGCCGCGTGGTTGAGTGCGTACTGGTACGCCGCGTGGTACCCCCTTTGCCTGTTCTGAGACTTGAACACCCACCCGTGTATCACCCGCAAAGCGATCCCCTGAACCTTCAGCGCCCTCTCCTTCGCAGCATTTAACTCCGACCCGTCCGCGATCTCGTGCTGCGGGATGCTGTTGTGAGGGAAGACGATGCTGCGACGAATGGGTGGAGGCTGCTCTCCCCGCGCCACAACCACAAGATAACCGCGCGCCTCTGCGATCAACTTGACGATGGCAAATCCCTCCCTCTCGTTCCAGAAGCGGAGGTCATCCACCCATAGCTTCGCCGCCGCCTCCATTCCTTCCCGCGTATTCCGCTGGCGCAGTCTGTTCACCAATGGGTCGTCGTCGTCCCCCTTCCCCGGGATATCGCCTGCCTTCACCCCTGTCGTCGCCCCTTCCCCCGCGTTTGATCCCCCCCCCCCTACTGCGTAGCCTGCCCTCGCCACCATCCCCGCGGGTGACCCCCCGCCCGCTACTGCGCCGC